TGTAACCAGAGTAATGTAGGTATTGGTTAGGTTATAGCTGTGTAACCAGAGTAATGTCGGTATTGGTTAGGTTATAGCTTTGTAACCAGAGTAATGTAGGTATTGTTAGGTTATAGCTGTCTACCCAGAGTAATGAGTTATTGGTAAGGTTACAGCTGTGTACCCAGAGTAATATAGGTATTGGTTAGGTTATAGCTGTGTAACCATAGAAATGTAGGTATTGGTTAGGTTTCAGCTGTGTACCCTGAGGAATGTAGGTATTGGTTAGGTTACAGTTGTGTACCCAGTGTAATGTAGGTATTGGTTAGGTTATAGTTGTGTAACCAGAGTAATGTAGGTATTGGTTAGGTTATAGCTGTGGTACCAGTGTAATGTAGGTATTTGTTAGGTTATAGCTGTCTACCCAGAATAATGTAGGTATTGGTAAGGTTATAGCTGTGTACTTAGAGTAATGTAGGTATTGGTTAGGTTATACCTGTGTAACCAGAGTAATGTAGGTATTGGTAAGGTTATAGCTGTGTAACCAGAGTAATGTAGGTATTGATTAGGTTATAGCTGTGTAACCAGAGTAATGTAGGTATTGTTAGGTTATAGCTGTCTACCCAGAGTAATGAGTTATTGGTAAGGTTACAGCTGTGTACCCAGAGTAATGTAGGTATTGGTTAGGTTATAGCTGTGTAACCATAGTAATGTAGGTATTGGTTAGGTTTCATCTGTGTACCCTGAGTAATGTAGGTATTGGTTAGGTAACAGTTGTGTACCCAGTGTAATGTAGGTATTGGTTAGGTTATAGATGTGTAACCAGAGTAATGTAGGTATTGGTTAGGTTATAGCTGTGGTACCAGAGTAATGTAGGTATTGGTTAGATTATACCTGTGTACCCAGACTAATGTAGGTATTGGTTAGGTTATAGCTGTGTAACCAGATTAATGTAGGTATTGGTTAGGTTATAGCTGTGTAACCAGAGTAATGTAGGTATTGGTTAGGTTATACCTGTGTAACCAGAGTAATGTAGGTATTGGTTATGTTTATATATAGCAGTGTTACCAGTGTAATGAAGGGATTGGTTAGGTTATAGTTGTGTACCTAGACTAATGTAGGTATTGGTTAGGTTATAGCTGTGTTACCAGAGTAATGTAGGAATTGGTTAGGTTATAGCTGTCTAACCAGAGTAATGTAGGTATTGGTTAGGTTATACCTGTCTACCAGATGTAGGTATGGGTTGTTTTTCCATGATTTATGGTCCTATAAACAGAAAGGGTAGTTTAAGGACGTGTGTCCGTGTGTGTTGTGCATACGTGTTTGTGTGCTGGATGCTGGATATATTTTCGAATAGCCTCTTTGCGATGGCACGGATCTGATGTAGACTTAAGAGTGCTATGTAGCAGTCTCTAATGATATAAACAACCACTTATAATACAAACATCATTAATCTCATCGCAACAAAATCGCAAGCCTTAATGATACAATTAGTATTTACCAAAGGCCATGGCAGCCCCTGGCTATATATAAAGACCTTTATAATAGCATCACCACGCACCATAACAGCATCATGAAGCACCTTATGGTATAAGGTAAAAAGACTTATTTAATGGTGAAGTTCGACACCTGATGACACAAGAGCCCGGCAGATTTTAATGAAACTTGGTACGCATGTTCGACTAATGTTTTTGACCTATGAGGGATATATTTTGGTTATCGTCAGGTGGCGCTGCAACCAAATTGGTCCTGTAAACCTAGTGTTAACTACAGAAATGCAAGCATTCAATACAAATTAAAAAAAAATTGTCAATACCAGGTACAAATGAAATTTATAAAAGACATGTACAATGATTCATAATTATTTTAAGGAAAAGACGTTTCAAAGAAACTGTCATTGTTTCTTTTTTTAATTTCTTTTTACAGCTGAAAATGTTTTTTATTACATTTCATTTTATTGTTAAGCAAATTTCAGATTTTAACAGTGAATAATAACAATTACGTTTCATGCAAGAACATATTTTATTCTGATGCATGTGGTTTTCAATTTGTTTTGTTAACCTATTATTAGTTATATAATGCAAATATTTAGAAATGTATATTTTTCTTTAAGCTAACTTTCTCAAATAAATTTTTAAAAAAACATTTGATCAGAAAAATAAAATTAAAAAAATGCGCTTGTTTTGATAACAAAACTTTAGAGGTTATCAATTGACCATTTCCATATCCCACTTCGTATATGTATCATGCTATGGGTCGAGGGCTGATACGGAGTAGTGTATGGAAATTGCCATATGGTAACCCTTTATCATTTATATTTCATGAGCTTATTCTGCCTTAAATAGAACAATATGAACACAATGGCATATACAGACAGAATTGCAGTGTGTGTACTGCCATTTTGCAGTGTTCAATCGGAAGTTAGACGGAAATGAAGCGTGCCTGTTAGACATTGTTGCGTGCCTAGCGGATATAGATTAGTCCAGGATATGGCCTATATAAACAGCTAGCAGTATCATACACGCAAAACAACTTAAATCACGAAAAAGTATGTGACAGCATGGTGTGTTTGTTTCACAGCTGTAAGCAGGTCGATATCAGTGCCATCTACCGATGAAGCAAGGGAGTTAACTCACTTATGTCTCTGAAAAGTGTTATATGAGTGACCTATGCTTGACGCATTTTTTACCGTCTTCTCAAATTTCTCATTGTAGATTTTGATGAAGCATGATACTCATTTTGACTTTAGTCTGATTTTGATTGATTGGTGATCCAATATGGCTGTTCTGTTTTCTTATTGAATGACTCAGTTTTTACTTCCAGGATCTTTAGCCCACCATCATCAGACGATGGGCTATTCAAATTGCCATTGTTCGTGGTCCATCCCTCCCTCAGTCGGGTCGTCCGTAAACAAAATAACAATACTTAGTCAGAACCATCAGATGAACATGCGTACCAAGTTTCATCGAATTCTACCTGGAATTTAAAAAAACCCACTAATGCTACATTTCATATCGCTTATTGATTTGATACAATTATGGGTTGATACATGTATAACTATATAAATAGGGGTTGTCATAAGCCTTCCTAAATGATATAATGATATTATAAGAGGTGCAATTTTGTTGCGATTTGATTGCTTATTGAGGTTTGTATAATTAGTTGTTATTGTTATCATTAGCGGTTTCTAGGCTACTCTACCTCACTGAAACGCAATGCCGAAGGCACCCAACACTGCATTCCTCCCGGTCACATTACACCGATAACGAGTATACCAGTTGTTGCCAGTACCCAAAATGCTAAACGTTGAACAGAGAATAACAGCACCCATTCTTAAGAACTATGTTATGTCCCGGCCTTGTGACAGATCCCCGCTTTGCCTTCCTCACCTGTGCAAACGTTTCAGATTAAAGTCAAAAGTGAGGTATTGCCAAGCAAGGCTCTAGGAATTAAAAGGTAGTCACATGTAGAAGAAGGGAGAGACATACAAATCCAAGCAGATTTGTTTGGGTCGCTTTTCTGTCCCTAAGTAGAGGACACAAAAGTAAATTTCCTATTCTACAGGAGGGTTCCCATATTAGTCGCCTCTTACGATACATGTTAAATGCACCACTTTGCCTGACTCTAAAAAAAATGTGCAGTTAAGATCATTTCAAAAATATCAAGAAATCAAAGTTATTTAAGTTTACTAAAACAACATTGTCAATTGATTGAAAAAAAAAATCCTTGAATTATATATACTCAACTGGTTTGGCTCGAATCGGTAGTTTCTATTTTTGCATGCTCATTACAGGTATTTCAACAACATCCAGACTATTTGTGGTAACCTGCAGCGCTTTGGGAATGTCGATGACGGCGGATGGGATGTGTGTTTAGACAAGGGCCTTATACGGAAAAATGATTGCCTAGTGTATTCATTTGGGTAAGTATTAGAGTGTTTTCACTTGGTTTGATATCGCTTCTAAATAAATTTCCTTTCTTACAACTCTTAATTTTTTTTTATAACATAAGGAATCATATCCTAGAGATGGATCGAAACTGGCTGAGTTAAAAAGAATTCTCGACATCTTCGGCTTTGTAAGATTTGTAACGTTATAGAGGATGAGGTACATCTATTTTTCTATTAACTTATAAATCTTGTATTTGGAAACGATGTTTTGAAAAAATAAAATCAACACAGTATGAATTACATGTAATATTAAACAAAAAAACGAAATAAAAATCATCTATTTACCGAAACAACCTGCGCAATGTCAGTCTCTTCACTAAACGTCTTTCAACTTAGGAAGGTGGGGTTACAACGTGCTTAAGTTTCATTATTATGATTATATTTATATTCCGTCTTTGCGTATTGCAGAGTTATCTTCTCTTGGGAGCAGGTATTGATTGTTACGTCACTTATTTGTGAGAGTAACGTCATCAATTTTTGAGAAAACGACGCAATTTTCTCACACAAACCAATGACGTAACAATCAATACCTGCTCCCAAGAGAAGATAACTCTGCAATACGCAAAGACGGAATATATATATTTATGTTTTATTTTTTTGGAGTTCGATGCATATAATACAATTTTTTTTGGGTGTGGCACGCAATACAAATGCAATTAAGTTGAGTTGATATAACATCTTTGATGTAAATGCGGTAATTTATTAGAAATGCAGGAGTCGAGGCCATTCTTGCGTAATGTCGTTTGCGAAAAGTAGCACTTCACAACAAAGAGTAAATTATCACTTTGGATTCCTGATATAGACAATAAAATATAAATCTTTAAACTGTTCTTATGCAATATAATGATAAGTTACTTATTTTCTTCAACTTACAATGTGTTTCATTCTGCATATTAAAACCAAATAAATCAATTACACAGCGTTGATAGGTCATATCAAATTGATGAGAGAAAGAGCATAGCACGTGATGTCTGCTCTGGATTTTTTATTTTTTATTAAGAGCCAAACAAAATTAAACAATTTGCATATACGCGTTGGAACATGTATAACAAACACATGTGTAACACACAAATTATGTAACATGTATTGCGGAATCGCATAAAACGTTTAATTTGTGACATAAAGACACACCGCCACACATGTTACGTATTGAAAATAAATGCTGGTGGTTTTGAGTGTTAAATATTACTTTGAATAACTGTCAAACCGACTGACTGCTGTAATTACAATAAAATTATCGTTTTTTCTTCTTTTTTTCTAGAATCAATTTCGACTTTAGTTTTGACGATGCCATTTCTGAACAATGGGGATGCATGGTACATTCGTTTGACCCGAGGTAAGTATATTCGATATCGCCCGATCACTGATTTAGGTCCATTTGCTTTATGAGACATGTACAATTTGTAAAAATAAAAATAAAAAACATGTCAAACAGTAATGATACCGAACAATACCGAAATAAAATACCGTGTCCCAAATTATATATAGAGCTGGTATATAACAAAACAGTCTTTTATAAGGAGACACACTTCGAGAATACCAGAGAGCAACCGTCGTCGGGAACATATCAATGTAAGAAATACGACGAAATGTACGAATTTTATACAAGTAATTTTGTAACAGTGAAGGACCTCACGTATGAAAATAACTTTATACAAGGACATCAGTAATCACGTAACTCGTATGTTGATATGTGCAGCTTGTCATGTCATTTGTAAGAAATAGGCCAATCTGAACTCCGCCTCGTCAACAAACAGATTGAACACGCGCCAGTAATGGTGAGGTCAAATGTCCGAACTTTGAAGTTTTATAAATGGTCAGGTTACATGGTCCTCTTATACAACTTACAATTAGATTGTGTTAGAATTGGGGTAGTACTTTGTATTTTGTGTCACTCCTGGCTTAACAGTGTCGAGTTAAAACCAAAGTGCATGCTGTTAGAGCCAGTGTAGCCACTAAAAAGAACGTACCATCCCCTTAAAGTACATAATATATATATATAAATAAACAACTTAAAATCGTCTGGTTTAAAACTGGAGTTTTCTTGTGACGTCCTTGTGCAGTAAGTATACATGCTAAATAAAAACGTGCATACAAAATGATGACAACGAAAAGATAGTCCAGTGCTAAACAAAGTGTCATATTAATTACATGGAAAAGGAAAGCTAAATCTTTTATTTACATGATTACGCAAAACAATCGAAATATGCCAAATTTTTATCTATGCATGAAGTATACATTTAAAGCATTTATTTACGAGCAAAGATAGTTATCAGTACACTGCGAAATTAGGAACATATAACCAATATATAATTCAACAGGTTAATTTGTGGCACAACATCCATTCGTTTGATATAACAATTTTCATATATATGTCAAAACATTTGCTTCAATGATTCTATGTAAAGGGAGGTTATTCCGGAGTTCTTGTATACTCTACAGCGATACACAACACACATGCCAATTAATCAGTAAATGTATAGTTGATGAAAACAGCAATATATTCACTGTGTGTATCTACTTTTATATTCAGGCATGATTTGAACACAAATCGTACGGTTGTCACCTATCTTAGTTAGTTATTAACCTAAGGATTCCTGTGCATTCTTGACGGGTTTCTGCTCTAGACTTCTAAAACTGATGATGAAATGGCACAATCTCGAAATATCATACCATACGCAACATCGTATTTTTATAAACAACAAATGGCGACAATATCTCTCGTTTTATGTTTTGAGTTGGAGAGAGGGAAACTGCCCAATTACTCGCCCCATGATCATGCTATGCCATTCATTTTTATTTTCCACCTCTGGAGCAGGGGTCAGAGAAAACAATTTCTCTCACAACCACTACAGGTTTCCCGACTCATTGGATAAACTTGCTAGGAGTTGGTTAACATTTTTGGTTACCCACTAATTGGGTAACACCCTTGACGGTATTTCATTGATCAAGTTTCTAATTATGACGTCATCGTCCATTGTGACGTCATGGTTCATGTCAATTGTGTTCCGATCATAAACAGGAATAATGTATTTCAAAGAGAAACGTGATGTTTTCTGAACATTATTGGAGAATAATGTCCCCAAACTCGTGATGGTTGATGATCAGTTAACGTCATGTCTTTATACAATTTGAAAATTAACTACATGAGTAACTCGAATTAGACAAATATGATAACCTGCCATCACTCGTTGGGAAACCTCTATAACCCTACTACTGTTATAGTTTATAACAGCAGTTATCGGTTTCTGTTTTGAAGTATGGACACCGACAGTTATAAACGGAGCTCCAAAGTATATTTCCACAACCTTGGACTTTCGAATTTTAACGGAACAACACCTGACGCCCATTGGAAGATGTTGACATTCCAGGGACTGAGACAAGCATTAGACCACCAGAAGGTAAAATTTGTGTTTTAATTTGTGTAAACTTGAGAGCATGTTTCCTGGCTCATATCAATTGAGAAAGTACATGTACATCCAAAACTAGGTCTTTCTGATGTTTCATGTATTACAAATCAGAAATTTACCACAGGTAAAGCACGTTAGTTCTGAAATCGACGCGCAAAAACAACAACAGGAACAGAACATTTACAAAAATATAAACAAACTCATTAACCTCGAAAATACTTTCTTTTTGAAAACAAAATGCATTTTTGCTTCTGGATGTCTTATCCTTTGCAAGACCTTCATTTGTTACGTAGTTACCTGGATGCGCTGTATACATACAATGTACAGTACTTATAAAAGAGCATCTTCGAATTCGCTAGCAAAGTGTTCGTTCGTATACACTCCACTTCAGTAAGTGGAGTGTATACGAAGCAAACTCTTGGCTTGGATGATAAAAGAGGTGAAGCAATAAAACTTCAATTTAAGTTATTTACTCCATTAGGAACATAATACAAACATGGTTGTGTTAGTGTAGAGTTCAGATAATGGTTACATTCTGTTGCACTCTATATCGTGCCGGGCTGAGAAAAAAATCTAATTAACCTCTCACAACATTTTACATGTACACGTATCATATTACTTACATATGTTGCAAAGCGACCTTTTTATTTCCGTATAAAACAAAACACCACTGGGGTTTTTCAAAATAGAAAAATTGAGAAACAGATGAAACCCTAAATAGAAAATAACAGTATGATTAAGCACAATATATCCTTACAACTCGTTTAGCCAAAGGCTACAAATATCAAAGTTCTACCGTCAGTAAACAAAATATCTTTATATTGTCACCGGCCATGTTGACCAGTGATTACAAATGGTTGTACCCGGTAGCTTATGGGTAACTATGGTTACTCATGTTAGTAACATGAACGCGACCTTTGTATTTTTGTTAAGAGTATAGTCATAAGACAATTCAAAGCTATATAACATCATTTTAAAATAATTCACTGGTCAATTATATAGAAACGATAAATATGTTTCAATGTATTGCTATATACTTTGGTTTAACTTGTTCACCCCTGCAGACACATTAAAACTCCTCCAATTCAATGGTTTGAATAGTTCATTATAAAATATCAGGGGCGAATGAGTTAACAAAACATAACGCCTTTGGTAAATTACTACTCATAAAAGCAAAATCTGTAACATTATATACTGGTTTTAAATTATACTGTATTTTTTTAAACGCTTAAATACATTTTGTAATATTTTGATGACCTAAGTTTAGCTCATTTAATTTATTAATTGATACAATGAGAAACACACAGTCTATAAACGTTTAACAATGTATTTCTTTTCAAAAAATTGTAAACGTGTGATGACATAAAAGGTTAACATCAGTCCTTAGTGAGCGACAACTTGACAGCAGTGGACCCTACCAACAACACTCCTTAAAACGTAAGATAGAGTTTTCATTTTTGTCTTTACTTTGATATCTGCTCTCTTGACTTTACTTTTCATTTATTTTACACAGGTCCTTCCAGATATCATCAAAATGGACATAGAAGATTGGGAATGGCATGTCATACCGGAAATGTTGGCTTCGGGATCTCTAAACGATGTAAAACAGTTCCTGGTGGAGTTTCACTTCTCTAACGTGCCGGAGGCAGATTCAGAAGGGTTTTGGATAGCAAAATTCTTTCTTCTAAAAGAACTATATGCAATGGGATTTAAGATAACGTGGGCCACTAGAAACTTACTGAATGTTTGGAGATCCCGTATAACAGAAAGAGACATTATAGGTTGTTTCGAGGTAACTTTTATAAGGATACAACGAGAAGCAGTGTTGCTGTGAAGGAGGGCCGCCCGTCTAATCAGTATAAAAGGACTGCATATATACCTCATCGTGATTGTATTTGTCCACAGAGAAAGAGAGAGGCATTTAACTTATTTTAAACAAGATCTGTCGTCATCTGGCGTCCGTCGTGCGTAACAATTTTACACTGAAAGCTTGTTGAACTACAAGTAAGGTGGTTTCGATGATTTTTGATAGAAATCTTATCAACATCGTCATAAAGAAGCACTTTAATTTTTGTCGTTGATCAGAAATCCTGTATGGCCTTTCAGAGCCGCCATACAATAGTTAAACTTGGGATTTTATTTGCCGATTTCACAGGACATCGGTAAGGACAATCTGCCGACAGTCATGATGGAGTGTTGTTATATATTTGGGTTCATCAGAAGTTCATTATGGTAACCACAGCTGTCACTTTGAAATCCTACTTCAAACTAAAATTAAAATTCTAATTTGTTAAATTAACTGAAATTTGAAAGGAATGATCTACTGATAGTCCTGACAACATTTTGTTCGATGTATTTCTTTGGTAAGTGAGAACTCTAGCAAGGAGGCCGACATTTGAAAGTCTTAAAGAGAAACTGAAATTTAAAGTTTAGATAAAACATAGTTAATATAATCTGCTGACTGTTCCAACACACTTTATTCGTATTCAATTCAATCAAAATCCAACATGGATGCCGATTTGTAAACCTACATGTATTTAAACTTTGAACTAAAGTTTGTAAAGGTCGATTGCACTCCTACTTTGTAGAAATGGTCTAGACCAAGTGTGGTTGTTTTGTGTTTTCTCAAGAAACCCTTTAAGACTGTACACTGACAGCCATTTTCAAAACATTTTTAAATTTGTTTCGGAATTGATAGATAATCACTATTTTGTTTTTTTCATACATCATAATTTTCAGCTCACGTTTCAGAAAGTACAAGTCAGAAAATGTTAAGGCTGTTGAACTTCTTGTATGAAGTATTGGTTTAATACGACGCAAATTTATCTCGCATACGTTTCTTTTTATTGGAAAATGCGTTTTATACTTTGTTCTGTTTTCTGTCTTTTTAAAAATTTGATTGTTACAAAAACACGTTTGTGTATATGTCCGTCCGTTAATGAAGGTTCAAAGTGATCTCCAAATGTAGTATTTCTAAACTTGTGATACATGTTACTGAAATAGCTCATATATAAACCATTGTGCCACCCTTGTAGGTGGGGGGATCGGGAAAAAACACCTGCTGTTACCATGTGCATGTATCGTAGGAGGCAACTAATGAGGGAACTCCTTGCAGAATTGGGGATTAGCTTTGGTGTCCTCTATTTTGGGACACAAAAGCGACCATAATAAATCTGCTGCGCCCATTGCAATATCTGGGATCTTTATCTTCCTATCTACTTCTAACTACCTATCATTTCCTAGCGCCTTGCTTGGTTACACCTAACATTTGGCCTTAATGTTGAGCGTTCGCCCAGGTGAGGAAGGTAATTGGGTCTGTCCCCAGGCATGGACATACAAAAGTCCTTAAAAATGGCAGTTGGTATTCCCTGCTTAACGTTCAGCATTTAGGGGAATGGCAACAACTGGTTCACCCATTGTCAGTATAATGTGAACGGGCGGAATGCTGTGCCGGGTGCCTTCGGTTGGTATTTCAGTGAGATAGCACTATAAAGTCGGCAGCAGATCCGTGCTATCACAAGGAAGCAAGTACACCAGCATACCATATTTCCTGCATACACACATGTAAGGACGCATACACTACACACACGGAGGCATGTCCTTAAATGACCTTAGCTGTTAATAGGACGTTAAACAAAATTAAACCAAACCAAACACACCACTGTCATGTTGAGAACGAGTCTCTTCAATAGCTCTTTTGCTGAAATATTTGTACACTGAAGCCAGTTTATCCTGTCTTAGAATTGACTTAGAGAAGGAAAAAGTTAATTTAAAAGAAAGAAAACTTATCTTGCATCAAGAGTGAGGCTTTTCAGTATTTTAAGTTGTTTCCCATAGTGAGAGTATTTTAAGCAAAGTGAAGAACACTCGCCTGACTTAAAAGAGTGAATGGTACTTTGAGTTGTTTATAGTGGTGATAATCTTTAAGCTAAGTAAGAATAAGAGTTCGGTTCTAAGTTGTTTCCCCGTAGGTATAGTCCAGTAACTAAGTAATATCTTAGTATAGATAACTCAAACATTACTACATATTTGTATACGGTCGTAGCTTTAAGGACCCCTGTCCTGACGATGGCAAAATAATAGAGAGTTCCCTGTAGTTTTTTTGTACAGAGAGTAATTTCCCCTTTCGTGTTGGATATTATTGTAACACGACTGGGCCAGGATAATTTCGTTGGCTGTGTAGCTCATTTTCTAAGAGCGATACTATGATGAACTGAGATCAAGGGCTCATATCCTGGTCAAAAAACAGTTTTTATTTGTATATACACAACACTCTTCTTTTTAAAAACAGAAATGGTTCTTTTGTAACTTTTTAAAGTTTAAAAGATTTTGTTTTAGAAAAAGATTTTTCAACGCTATATTCATAATGGAAAAATATCAAATGCATAGTTACAGTTTGGGAGCGATAAAGAGATCTTTAAGTAACTTACTTATATGATTAAGTTTAGGTTATCTTTTAAGCATACAGGTAGAGCTAGTAGTGTAAAAAATCAACAATCAGGACGAGTTGTGTCCCCTCAATCAATATGATTAGTGCTATAAAGACTATACCAAGGGTATTTATTTAATCACTCATTTTTGTATTCATCAATCAGTTTTATAAATATATATTCTTGTCACTACATTGTGATAAACTTTGAACATTCCTCGATGTTACTTGTTTTATAACTGTCATTTTGAATCAGAGTGTGTCTGGAGTAAGCGTGATTTCATGTCTTTGAGATTGGTATATTTTTAACACCTGGTGTGCTTTTTAATTGTTTAATATATATATATATGCAGTGTGCTTGATTTCTGTCTTGATTTTTTAATAAATAAAAAAGTATGAGACTTTATAGACGAAAATGATACATTTTGGCTACAGCTGACAAAACACTCGTGAGTTGTCTAGTAGTATATATACCCACAGATCTAATATAACACTAAATTAGAAAATAATTGACGGAGAACCAAGATCCAGTTGGAGTTTAAAACACGTTAGCAAAGCAATTAATCAAAACAAAACACCTTCGGACTATTTTCGCTATATAATACTATATTTTTACTTGATATGTTCTAAGGAGGCCCAGCACAGTAACATTATTTATATTCTCTGTCAAACAATAATGGTAGAAATGTGCAAATTTGATGACATACATATTATTGTTATATGCTTGAAAATTTCTCGTTACCTCATTGGCCGGATCCTATACACGTGACTAGTCCTCAAAAACTTAGGTAGACTGGCTATCCGGTAAATATTGATTTCTAAATAAAGTCTATATGGAATTCCCCGCAACCAGTCATAGCGCAAAAACTACTCGAAGATAAAGACTCTGTTAACACAAACAGGCCAACGAACAAGTATTGCGTATCCTCAATGATTACCTTAGTTGAAAGAACTTTGACGATGTCTTCGAGAGCTACGATGCCGAACTGTTGGACTCAACAATGGCTAAATTGTACACGGAGGCTCGCTCCAATATGAACTATACAAACTACACTCTACCATTGTTGGTGCATAAAAAAAACCCAGTTATGGGCTTTTTTGCTGGTAAATATGATGTGATATGAATCTAAAAGAAAAGTGATATTAACACCGGCTTCGACTCATTCAATAACACGTTTTCATGTTCATATCACAACGTATTCACCAGCACAAAAGTCCATAACTGTATAATAACTGCTATTTATAAATTGCAAAAAAAGGACATTTTTTCTCGAGATTAATTTTGTTTTTGCAGAAACATACATTTTTATACAGAGAACAAAGAAATGAACAAACAAAGGTATTACTGAAAATCTTTGGGAGTGTAAATGTATTTAAGATGGCCCTTATTTCGAAATATAAGTGTGCAATTAAACCGTATCAGTTACTTATATAAAATCATATATGTTTTGAACATAAATTCTCACAAAAAAAAATGTATTTTTCTGGTATTCGAACTTTTCCATTAGAGGTAAGAAATTTATCGAAGATATGGATTTATTCCTAAAAGTAGTCTTGGCTTTTCAGAGAGAGGATTGTTTAGTTTTCTTCTGTCGACGCAACACCTAAAAACTCGTTGAGTATATATGAAACAGGTTGTGACTGGTATACTTCATGTAATTTACTGCTCTATAACATTCAAGTAACGCGACTCTATTGGAAAACTACCATCGGCAACACGGTCTCACAGGATCACAGAACACTAATGCTTACCAGAAAGGCACACACACACACATGCCAATGTATTTTCAAGTTAGCTTAGAACTAGTAGTCAGCGCCTGATATGACAGGACCTGCAAAATCTTTATATTGTATTGGTTTTGTGATTGTATGACAAGCCTTTGTAGCACCTAAGAACGGCTTATCCCACATAGAATGGTGATATATGTATATCAGTTACGGTATAACTGGGATGCAAATCGCTCTCAAAAATAGTTCTGTGTGGACAAATGATGCCACGCTGTTGTCCGAATTAACCCTTCATATTAAGGCGTATTGAGTTTCGTCTCCCCAAGTAACTTATAACTCAAAAGATGCTTTTTGTTTTGGTCTTCTACTTATCAGATTAATATGTTTCAAAGCGATGAAACTAGCTCTAGTTTCGCGCACATCAAGCTTCAAATAGCCACTCAAACTTGATTTACAATGCCCCCCCTGCAGGTCGAGTATCGAGGGAAAATACACCTGGGCCCGAATTCATGAAATCGTTCTCATGCTCAAGCATGGATTCTGTGCTTAAGTTTAATTTCTTGTTCTGTCTGTAAATAAATAAAAAAACAAATATTTTTGACTTATATTCCCGTTCCATTGATACTCTACCAAGACGTATGTGGTTTCGTGTCCGGAAACGCAAAATATGCATGCCGTTTTCTTCTACTACAGATTTCGTTATTATTTCAAAATGATCTAAACAAAGTAGCGTTTTCTAAACGCGACGAATTATATTTCTAAAGTAACAAATAATACGTATAAATCCTTTAAAGAAGTTTGTAGCCACTGTTGAGGTTTTGTTCTGTACGATTAAAGATGAACGAAACAAGTTGGTAAACAATGCAATATGCCAAAAAGAGTTCAAAGAAAGTCAGAGGTCTGGATCTGGAGAGTATATACGTAGCGGTATTCACCAAATATTTCCGAACCATTTTTCTGATATGTGGAAATGTCGACGAGATCCGATGTCGTCAACCCTTGGGATACTTGGCCTTGTGTAGTATGACATTATTGATTTCCCGTTCTCCAAGATGGCTGCCTAAATCTATTGACTACCTGTGACCTTTCGGGCTATGATGTATGTTCTATTAGTCTGACTTCGTTCATTTTCCGTGGCGAATGTTTTATCAGATTACATGTTTCAAGATACACTTCTTCTAACATAACGGTAATAGTTTTTTAGTTGATGTCCATTTTATTGCTATTATTTAAATACAGGTTTAATCATTAAAAGGTGGTAAAATGTACAAATAGCCTATGGGAATAATTACTAATACTTTGTAATCCAAGATGATCCCTAGGCCTGTGGCTATTGATGTGGACTACAGTTTTCACAATATTCTGTAACTTTTGTATTAGTAGAGTTTTTAAGTGATTGCAGAGAGTTTTTTTATTTATTATTCGGAATAATGAATGACTTGATTACCATTGGCATCCTTTCCCCCCGAAAGTAAAATGTGTTATCTAATATTCGGAATCAAGAAAAACTGCCCGAATTTCTTTTCAAAATCTTTAGTTCACTGTACACCAAATACCTCTAAGTTCACAGAATAGTGCTTTATCAGTCGACGTCCGTGTAGTACAAATAACTTCTTCAAATAACTATAAGGGGTATGCCCATGTTACATGTACAATGTATTTTGAGCTACGTACGTGTAGTAGTATTCTAAGTTAGACTAAGAATATGGCCTCATCCTATTTTCAAGGTCACAGACATGTAAAACAAACCTGATACTATTTTCTAAGGATACGAAAACTCTGATGTTTTATTAATAACATTTGACCAGTAGTTTGTTGGCATGGCTTTGCCACAAAGTTTGCTAAACAAAGGACTATTTTGATTTGTTCTAGGTTGCATAGATACCCTTTTTTTTAAATGTTTAATCGACTTCTTTTGAAGAACTGGAAGTGCTGGAAACGCGTGTATTGGCTAATATCTCGCTGGCAAAGTGCTATACAGTTAGTAGGTAAATCCTTAAATTGAAATTATATAAATTGTTGACTTCT